GGTTTTTGCGTGTGAAAAATTTGCGCATGAAAAAGTTGCGCGTGAAAAAATGAAGTTCCTGAAATATGTAAAAAGATTGAGTGAAAAATTGACCCCATGATATGATTTTCCATCTGTTTCCTGTATTGTCTTCCTGATTTCTAGGTCCCTTGGGAATAAATTAGTTCATCCCAAGGAAAATCATGTACATCAAATTGTGAATAACAAGAGATAACTAAAGGTTCATACTTTTCAAAAGTTAAATACAAAACCAAAATAACTCAGTCAGAGATAATGTACAAGTTATTTTTATTCATCCATGTAAAAGATGGCTATAGTTGTGTCTCACCTCTGCAGATGCCTCTGCCGGTCCATCCTCATCCTCCATCCCCTCCTCCTCACTAAGGATCTCCTCGTAAGTCTCCGGGTCCCTCCCCGTCTGCTCCTCTGTATCATTGATCTCCCCATCAGACAGGTTAAAGTGCTGCTCCCCTGGGGAGTGCTCCGGAGTGAGAGGTTCAAACAACTCCTGGTTACCCTTCCCTTCCGCTACCTCCACCATCTCTACTGCCGCGGGTTCTTCTTCCTTCTCTCTTCTCTCCTTCTCTCTATCCCGTGGCTCCCTCTCCCTGCTGTTCCGGCTTTCTCTGTCTCTGCTAGTTCGACTTTCTCTGTCTCTGTCACGGTCTCTACTTTCCCGTTCACGGCCTTCTCTCTCGCGAGATTCGCTGGAACGCTCGCTAGTTTTCCTGTCTCTGTCTGACCGCCCCTCTCGCTCTCTTTCTCTGGTCGCATCACGAGTCTCGTCGCGAGTCCTTTCCTTTGGCTCCTCCGGTTCTTCGTCGGAATCCGGCGGGGGAGGGCCGGGCGGCGTACGCGGTCCCTGTCGGATGGTGACGGTCAGACTCGGCTGCGAGGACACAGAATCCGAGTCGCGGTCCCGGTCCCGGCTGGCGTGCGGCCCGGGGCTGTGCCGGCGCGGCGACCGCCCCGTTCTGGATTCCAGATCCTCGTACCGATGCCGGTGTGCCCGCGGACTGTCCCGTTCGCGCTCGGTCGACCTGTTCCTCTCGGGATACGAGTCTCTAGACTGGGACCTGGGGCTGGACTCTCTCCCTACATGGGCAGATGGGAGTTAAATTGCATCTGATTCATTTATCAAAGCTTTTATCAAAATTTTTATCAAAATTTTCATCAAAATTTTCATCAAAATTTATAATGATATACCATTTTGATAAAATGGTTTAAGAAAAGCTGTGCTATGCTGTCTACCATTAGTACTTAGGCTAGCTTTTGTAATGAGGGCATGTTGATTTGATTCTATGGATGACATCCGGGCGCGCATTAATTTTTGGCCATTTCCAAAAAAACAAAAGTTTTCAACCGTACTGTAAATCGAACAAAACAGTTGCAAAATGAGCAAATATCCTCATTAGTGTGATCTACCGTAGGTTCACAAAAATATATTGGAAAATGATACCAACATCGTAGAATGCCAAAATCAAACGAAAAAGACGTAAATGTAAAATGAATTTGAAGACTAGATTATTTGTCATACCATACTGTGTCGTTTGTTCCAGCTTTATAACCATATACATTTAATAATGAAAGCAACTTTTTTCTTTGCCAAACTTTTTTTTATTCGCACGCTCGCATCAGTTTGGGGGTACCCAGAGGATGTCATCCATATAATCAAATCAACATGGCCTGAACTATAATTGAGGAGCTTTAACTGTATACAATGCTGGAGATGTTTATCAAAGTGTAAACATGTGTGGTTCCGTACCAGGGCGAGTTTGTGTCCTGATCTGTGGTTGGCTGGGAGGGGGAGGGGGAATGTCATCGTGGCTGGTGGGTTCTGTCAGAGTACCGTACAGCGCTAGAGTCAGAGCTGTGTACCAGCCCTTCACTGCAACCCTGTCTGTGGAAATCTGTAAACAAAATACAAACACAAGTTATCACTGGAAACAAAACAATGTATCTACTAGAAGGCTGACATTTGCTTTGGAGCAAATGTAGCGGATGGCTTCACCACATTTTACGACATGGCAGGGAAAAAAGGAGAAACACAAAGGAAAACAATTCTTTACATTGATATAACTGTAGTATGAAGTGAAAACAGTTGGATAGCCATCCCCTACATTATTGGTTAGGATTTTTAATTGCATAATACAAACTGTTGATTTTCAAGATAAAAAGAAGCGTTTATCATCAACTTTATGCCCTGCATTCCAATGCTGGAGCAGGAAAGCTTGACATACCTACATGTACCAAAACACTTGAATGTACTTCATACTGTCAATTGGGCATGGCTGTGTACAGGTGTTAATTGAATTAACCCAGTTAAATCCCAACAGCCAATCAGCAAGAAGAATAGACGAAAGCTGCATGCCTATTGGCTCTTGCTCTGCATGCCAGAATTTGACTGAGTAGAGGTTTAAAGTTATGACTTGTTTTTCCAATCTAAGAATTGGGATCCCAACATAAGAAATTCCTGTTACCTTGGGGTTGGTGATGAGTTGTATACTGGAATGGGCATTGTACTTGAAACTGGAAAACAATAACAAATGTACTTAGTATTGGATCCACACACATTTCACTGTCAATTTAAATATGATGATCATTATGTACTGACATGACACTAATCAACCTACTAGTACAGTCAAACCTGTCCAAGCCGGCCACCCAGGGAACCGGAGAAAAGTGATCACCTTGGACAGGTGGTCTCCTTGAAGAGGGTCACCTCACAACATGACTGAGACATAAATGGTTTCCAAGTCGAGATGTTATAATGTCAAATGTTGTAAATGCATGTGGGGAGGGCTCGATTTACCTCGAACATAAATATCATCCAGCAGTCGAGGCAAACTGGCTGGTGTCTCCATGATTTCTCATTAGTTATCATCAATAGTCAACATGATTGAAAATGATGTGGTCACCATTGGCACCTTGGCCTTCAGCGGACCCAACTCAGGGCGGTCGTGTTGGCCAGGTGGCCACCTTGGACAGGTTGTGTCAATGGGGAAAATTTTTTAGAAAAAGCGGTCACCATGGACAGGTGGCCTGCCTGAAGAGGTGGTCTCCTTGGCAGGTTTGACTGTACTTCTCTGGAGCGTACACTATAAAGGTTTCTATTTGCTCTCTACTGTATGGATATACATGTAGTAACCTATTAGAGACAGTATAACTACTAGTAAGAGATGCTCACCTCCCCAGTGTGTCAAACACTGCAGCTGTGGACTTGTTCAAGTTGATGGCAAACAGGTCCACATCAAAGGCTGAGGGATGGGTTTTCCTGGGAACAGTTCAGACAAACATAAATTTGTAAACAAACTGGTACGTTTCGTAGTCACCTTCAAAGTTGAAACTATGCCATTTTCCGTAGAGCGTAATTGGATGTTTTAATCCTATGCAGAGCGTAGATGGACCGCTCTAATTCAATGTAGAGCGTAATTGGCGCATTTTGCGTAGAGCATAATACGAGTTTTAATTCTATGTAATGTGTTGTAGCCTGACTTGGAAATTATCATAAAGCGTAATCGCTACTGTAGCGTAATACGTAGCCAGTTCTCAAAATTTAGCGTAGAGCATTGTCGGGACCCCCATGCAAGCCCTCTTGTTTGGTACTTACCCATACTTCTTGTCCTCTGGCAGGTCCCTGTGTGCCCAGGTGCCCTGTGGGATGATCCGTGCCTCATGGATGTGTACAGGACAGGGGAAGGACACCACATCTAGGTTTAACTGTACCAACAACAATAGTCAACATGAAAGTTTAGCATGAAAGTTCATCTGTGTTGGTATACTTCATTATGACAAAAAAGGCTAAACGTTCTGTCCAACACTAAGTGACCCTATGCTGCAATCACGTGTTTCTGACGTCACGTCTCGGAAACTGCAGTAGACAGGTCCATTCCGTGAACAAAGCTGATGGTGTTTGCTGAAATTTGTGTCCCAAGTCCCAAACTTTGTGTTGGACGGAACGTTTTGCCTTTTTTGTCATAATGGTCAACACCTTATCATTACAATGTCATCTTTCTCTCTGTAGTAGCCTGATGACCAAACACCTGCTTTTACTGACAATGTTGTGAGCTCTTGGGCATTCACATTTCTAAGGACTCTTCACCAATATCTAAAAAAAAAAAGTAACTACTAGTAGATGAATCAGGCAAAAATCTGACCATAAATTGATGATAAAAAGTATTATATATTGACCATGGAACAAAAAAGGGTACATGTGAAATTACACATAAATTCTCCATGGTGTTTATTGTCATGATAATTTTGATTGGTTGTGAACTCTTTTTTCATATCTTTCATCTGTTGTTGTTTTGCAAATTATAATAACGTTACATCTCAATCTATGAATGGATTGGCCTGTGACCTCTTGCAATGTTATGTATGAACGTTTAAAAATCGCCGAAATCCCGAATCACTACAGAGTACATCCTCTGTTCCAGCAAGCAGGCTACATTACTCTAAGTTGAGACCTCCTTGGCTTGAGATCTAGAAATCTCTTCAATCGTATATATTTCAGGTGCCATGGGACATGCACGATGTTGAGATCGACGCAGACGACGTCGAGTTAAGCCTTTCTGCAAAAGAACTTCAACATTCCTGGCTTCTTAGACTATTCTTAGTCACATCATGGTCACGCATAACAACGTCTACACCTAAGAAGCTTAGCGAAACCCACCTCTTCGGCATCGTGATTGAATGTATCACAAAAGAGAAGCTGCGGTCCGTCCGCCATCTTCGGACCTCCTTCTGCTTCCTTCCCTGCAGTAGAAGCATTTCTCAGCAGGAGGCGCTTTTGAGTTGCTGTCGAAGTCAAAGAAAGTTGTCGGACGACTACGAAAGCTCCTCTTCGTAAATCAACCAAGGGTTACTTTGTACATTGTATAACTGTTTGAAGTTATTGTGCATTTCAGATACCAAATTTTTGTATGATTTTACTTAAAGGAATTTGATGAGATACAGAAGGTACAAAACTTTACATTTGGATGCGGCGATCCAAACGCAAGTAAGTAAAACCACCTGCCATTTCCGGTTCCGGGTCGTGACCCGAGATCTCCCCGCCATTTCTGTCTTTGCGCCATATCTTTGCACCAAGAAAAGCCCCTAGATATTTCTCCTTAGTTGTGACGCAGTACGTGCATCGAGAGGGTACGATGTCTCTCTCGGTCGACAAGGAAGCGTTCTACCGGCGCATGAAGCGCCTCTACAACGTGTGGAAGGTGAGTTTGTCCACCGGGGGGATTTTCAAAAAGGGAAGCGCGGGCAAAAACGCATGCATGCTGCCTGGATTTGGCGCGTGTTTGAATTGAAAGAGGGGCAGATGTTTTTCTTCCATATTACCTCATATCAACCTTTTGATCCCGCTATTTACCTGGATACTTCGAGTAGTTGTTCCTTCCTAACACCTATAAATACCGTGCATGACACACCAACACATGATACGCACATGAGCTGGCTATGTTGACTGTAAAAACCTGTTTTAATCTCGCATAGTGGTCGCCATTTTTAGTCCACATTTTGGGTTCTTTGTGTCTGCCCGTGGGGTGGGGGTGTCGTCCCGTCGGTGGGGGTAAGTTATCCCCGGGGTGGGGCATGATGTATCAGTACTTTGATTAGCATAAGGCTGCACAGTAAGAGTCCAGTTTTGCATAACTGTATAATTTGCATAATTTTATGTGAGGCTATGCTTGTACTAATTTACATAATCTCACAAGGAGGCCAGGGATGGGGTTTACTAGTACATGTATGTCAATCCTGCATATTTTACAGCACATGATTGGCAAAATCACACATCGTCAAACAAGGTGTATTAATGTTGTTATAGTGCTAGTATAATTTATTAGAATTGAGGGTTGCACATAATAACAAGTCTAATATCCCATGAACTTACTCGTTCCAAAATCCTCTCACAACAATAAGTTAATACGAGCGATCGCTGTTTTTGTTTACACTACTAGTATATAAATGCAAATTATTTGAAGACATATGGCAAATTTTGGTAGGCAAATAAACCAACCGTCACCCGCTTTTTGCTCACCATGACGTCAGGGCGATCGCTCGTATTTACTGATAACTGCTGTTGGTCTTCCAGACCTGAACTTATCATAAAGTGCTGCCAGTCCTTGTAAATTTATCGCTTTAATTGGTACCAGGATCCCCACATACAGACCCTCAGGGCCTTAGTTATACTGACCTATATCATAGTATATGATGTCCTGATGACGTCACGGTCTTAACCCCCACAGAAAGCCCCGGACACCGGCGCCATGGGGAAGATGGATGCCATGGTGGTGGCCGTGGGCATGGACGAGGAAGTCGTGTACGCCAAGTCCACCTCCATACAGGTAACACCTTCCATCGCAATCTAAGAACTTAGGTCGAACTCTCATTTCCAACACAAACAAGAAATTGGATACCTCATACCGCCATGTAATATTTCAAGCTTTCATAAATGTCTGTTTTTTGGATTGGCCTCATTGATTATGGAAATAAGGTTGTAATTTGCATAATCTATTTCAATTGGCAGATTTATCACCTCAAATTACATATATATTTTTTTATGTCAAAGTCCTGGCCTTTGGCTAGGTTTCATTTTGACATTTTGTTATTAATTATGCAAATGACCCCAACATTAATATGAAATATGCATAGTGATGTTGACCTGTAATTGGTTATACATGTCACAAATATGAAATACCCATCATTTACCAATGATAAATTGTAGCATTTTCAAATACAATGCCCAGAAGTGATTCTATAAGAGGGAAGAATATTATGCCCATTGCATGATGGCACAAGCCCCATAGTTTATTTATTTATTTATTTCTGTTTTATTTAAACAGGGTAGAGACCTCAGTGCTATTTAAAAACACTGCTTTTCAGGAATGCCCTGTACGTGACAACAAGTTACACATGAAAACAATGAAACAACACATTAAACAATACATAAAGTTACAAAACAACCAAGCGTCAAAACAAGATTGTTAACCATAGATCAATGTCGTTAAGCCAGGCCGAGGTCAGAGGTCAGCAATGTTGTTTCAGAACCTTCTTAAACGACAGGTAAGACGTGGCCACTCTAACTGTGGCAGGTAGGCCGTTCCAGGCAAATGCTCCCCTACACGCAAACTTTCTTTGGCCAGATTCCAGTCGGACTTTAGGAAGTTTTAAAGATATTAAGTTTTGAGTTGTGCCTTGTTTGGTACATATGAGATGTTCTACAGAACACTTGTAGGTTCCCTTACAGTAGTCTTACTAACCGTTTTTGTCATTCTGCCCCAGATCTGGCTGTTTGGTTACGAGCTGACGGACACCGTCATGGCGCTGTGCGAGGATCAGATCATGTTCCTGGCCAGTAAGAAGAAGATTGAGTTCCTGAAGCAGCTGGAGACTGGCAGTGAGAACGCAGACGGAGTCCCTCCCATGACTCTTCTCACCAGGGATAAGGTGAACCTGATACTGTCTCACGCAACTGAATTATATACATAAATATGTTTATTTATCATTTTTAAAAGAGTAAAGTACTGTTTTTAGCTGTGTGTGTATGTATGCGTGTGCTCGCGTGTGCGTGAGTTCATGTGTGTGTGTGTGTGTGTGTGTTCGTGTAGGTGTCTGAGTGTGTGTGTGTGTGTGTGGGTGGGTGTCTGTCTGTCATGTTCAGCCTGAGAGCTTATACCATCAAGGTGCTGAAGTCCGCTACCTCTGATAGTCTTTGTTTGTTACCTTCCTTGTAGTATAACATAAAGTCAAGACTGCCAGACTAGCCAGTGTGACCATCCATGTTGATTTTCTATGTTCCTGTAACTCGTTTTTTGGTTATTAACCACCATCTACCATTTCAGAGCGATGGCAACAAGGCCAACTTTGCTAAACTGGTGGAGGCTCTCAAAGCCAGTAAGAAGGTAAGTGGAATAATGTTTGTTTAGTTTCATGAGTTTATCAAAATGTAGTCTGTAATCTTCATGATGTCTATCAAAACATAATCTTAAAACATTCTTTTTTGTGTTTTTTTTTCAAAACCCATTCTGGTAGTAATAGTGTCTTAGGGCCGATTTACATGGGGCAAAAAAATCATTTCTCATGCATCACATGGTTGAGAACAGATTTTCTTGGAACGTGTAAACAGGCCCGCCACGCGGCATTTTCGTGTGGCACGCCCAGATGCGCTACACATTGTGCGTCGGTGGCAAGCCTGTTTACACATTCCAAAAAATAAGTCCCACACCATGCGACGCAGGAGAAATAATTTTTCGCTCTGTGTAAATCGGCCCTAAGGTGATAATCATACATAGAAAACACAGTCAGGAAATTATAACAGTTGTGGTTGTTGACCTTGTCCCAGGGGAAGACCATGGGTGTTTTTGCCAAGGACAACTTTCCAGGAGAGTTCATGGACAGCTGGAGGGCAGCTCTGGACAAGGGAGGGTTTGACAAGGTGGGGTTTTTCCCTCATAGCCAGAGATCCTGCTTTGTTCAGGTTTAAAGTACTTATCATCTACATTTAAGTGTCAGAAAAAAGAATGAAACCTTTGTTGTATTTCTTGTATATAATTTAAGTTAGCTATAATTAGTACAAGTTTAAGGTCTGAAAAAAGGCAGTATGGCTGTACATGTAATTGCGTTTTGCACATTCCACTTCATTTTATGTTGCGCATACAAATTTAATCCTTGGTAGCTTAGGTTACTGGTGCACTTATTCCCCCCCCCCCAAGAAAATCATGTTAAGCCCTAAGTTTGTGGTACGCACATGCTTGGTACCAAACAACACGAGATAGTATCCAACTACATGTAACAGGGGGGGGTTTATAGGCACTACCAACTGACCCGGCCGAAGGGTCTAGACCTTTTAGCGGAGAGGTTAGAATGTCTGGTTATGAAGCTCTGGTGCCCGGGAGGTCGTGGGTTCAAACCCCGGCCCGGGACCAGAAGGGTTTTTACTGGCTCCTCCTCAGTTCTTACATACACGATATTAGACAGTAACATACTTCCTTGTGTTGTATGTTCCTCAGGCTGACATCAGTGCTGAGGTGGCCCTGATCATGGCCCCTAAGGAAGACGATGAGTTAAACGTCATGAAGAAGGCCTGTCAGATCACCGCAGACGTCTTCACCAAACACTTCAAGGAGCAGATTATGGAAATCATTGACGCAGACAAGGTGAGACAACCTGAGATTTGTGAACAATCATAGCTGTTTAGAGATGAGTACCTCAACAAATTTTAGGTACAGGTACACAGGACTTACCCTTACCTGAACTATTTTTTTCTACTCATCTTTTTACTGGTTATTTGTTCTTTTAATCTAAGAACAAGAGTACAAAAAAGACTTAGTTTTTCCTTATTTTCAAGTGCTAAATCATCAAAATTGATATCTCATTAGTTAATGAAATTAACCACGAGTACAGTATTAGCTAAAATTGTGATTGAGAATATTTTGGTGGTCCTTCTACCACCTTCCTTACGCGCAGTGCTGCAGCGCCACCTAGTGAAACTAGTCAGTATTACCACAAAGAAGGCAGAAGCAAGACTACTGAAACATTGGTACTTTACAGTGATTTACCAACTCTATGACACTATCCATGTTCTACAGAGAGTGAAGCATGCTAAGATAGCTGATAGTCTGGAACAGGCTCTTGAGGATAAGAAGATCCTGGGCGGTGCAGACCCCTCTAGTGTGGAGATGTGTTACCCAGCCATCATCCAGAGTGGAGGAAACTACAACCTCAAGTTCAGTGTGGTCAGGTATGGACTGAGCTTGCAAAGTGTTGAACTAAACCAGGACTTGAAATGCCCATTTTTAGTTTGTGGAAATCTTTTTGAATTTCCAGAATAGAATATTGACAACTTGTCTCAACATTTTGCTGTAGGCTAAAATGATGCGTGCAATTTAGCATAACTGTTGATTAGCAGCTCAGTTGTGGATCTTACATAGCCTGCCCCTTAATTTTTATTTATTTGTCACTTGAATTAGAAGATCATACAGGTTACTCCTAGAAAGAAGAGCCTTGTGATATTAGATTTGCATTCTGGAAACTTAAGAGAAAAAAATCATATATGAGGCCATGTTGATTTAATTATAATATGGATGACATCCACACGGGCATGAATTTTCGGCTGTGAGCAAATGAGCAAATATATACCATAAGTTGCAAAAAAAATATTGGAAAACGACGCCAATGTCGTAGAGTGCTAAAATTAATCGAAAAGACAAAAATGTAAAGAAATGAACATGAAGAGTATATTATTCGCCATACCATATTCTGTCTTTTGTTCAACCTTCAAGACCACGTAAATTTTTATAATGAAAGCAACCTTTTTTCTTTTTACAAAACTTTTTTTTTATTTGCACGTTTGCATCAGTTTTGGGGTTTCCAAAGGATGTCATCCATATGCAATCAAATTAACATGGCCTAATGTCAGTACTAAAGCTTTAAAAGTCGTTACTGTCTTCATTTTGATTGTTCTGAAATTGTTGCCACTTTGCTCCACAGTGACAAGAACACCCTTCACTTCGGCGCCATCACGTGTGCGTTCGGCGTGCGTTACAAGTCGTACTGTTCCAACATCGTGCGCACCATGCTGGTTAACCCGTCAGACGAGATGCAGGAAAACTACAACTTCCTGATGGAGGTGGAGGAGGAGGTCCTCAGTCATCTCAAACACGGTCAGGCTTTTAGTGGGCTGCTAGAGTTGTGTGCCTAAACAAATTTTAGGTACAGGTACAGGTACATGGGTTTAGGTACAGGTCTGGACCTGAAACTGTACCTGAACAATTCAACAAATTTACATGTTCTTCTAAACCCCTTCCATAATGACAGAAACATGAAATAAACTTGACAGATAAGTTTGCCTTTTTGTTTATGAAGAATTCTTATACAAAACATGGGCAAAACTAAGATGTTTTGGGTTTCATAACTAATATGCTACAGATCTTTCAGGGTAGTTAACACTGTCAGTCTATACCACAAACACACTGTCTTTACTTTGGAACCCATAGGGGACCACCTAATTACGCATTTTAGTAGGACAGAAACAACATTGTCAACAAGAATGCCTAAAAACTTGTAGTTGTTATTTGTTATAAATAGTTTAGGGCTCTCCAGTCTCTCTTATGTTTTGTCTTATGTCTTGAATGTAGATGCTAAACTGAGTGACGTCTATGAGTCTGCCATCAAGTTTATCAAGGAGAAGAAACCAGAACTGGAGAACAAATTTATCAAGAACTGCGGGTAAGTGTACTTTATTTTTATGCGACTAGAACAAACTGGTATAAAGAAGATACTAAGATTGATTAAGTTATGCTAAGACACTGGAACAACAAAAAAAGTTTCATTGTTTTATGATGACATTCGATGATGTTATTTTTCCAGATTTGCCATGGGGATAGAGTTCAGAGAAGGTTCTCTAGTGCTGAATGCCAAGAACTCAGCTAAAGTTCGCAAAGGTGATGGAACAAAGTTTATCGTTGGCTAAGGTTTCTTACTAAATGTTGCACATCGGCATATATTTTGGTCAGCTATGTAATCCTTATTAATAATGGAGAAGGATAAAAAGAGCAAAACTTGACAATAACAAAACCTTTTCCTCATTCTATTTTAGTCAAATATGTTGTAAGTAGTTATGATTTGCTTGAATGTCGAAAACTATTTTAGATGTTATAAGTCACGACTTACATGTAATTCATAATTCCCATTGGTACAGGTATGGTGTTCAATGTCAACGTTGGCCTACAAGGCATGACCAAAAAGGGAGCAAGTAAGGATGAAGAGAAGACCTACGCTCTGTTCATAGGTGACACCGTGCAAGTCAATGAGGTAACACTTACTTTTCATCTGGTATATTGTGCATTTCCCAGGGCTCGAAATACCCAAGTGCAAAATGCACATGATTGTCAAGATTTGCACTTAAAATAGTTTGACTGTGCAAAACATTTTAAAAATAAAATATTGATGTGAATGATGATAAAATATTGATGCCAATGAATGTATCTTCTTCAGGATTCCCCTGCCACTCTGTTAACCCCTGTCAAGAAGAAGTTCAAGAGCATTGCCATCTTTCTCAAGGTGAGAACACAGTTCTCTACTTAGTAGTTTTTTAAACAGATTTCTTTGTGTAATCCACATGTAATTGTGTCATACAAATCAGTTTTTTAGAAGCTCAACCCGCTAAGATTATTTGTTCTGCTTATTTTAGAAAAGCCAAAGCAAGAATAGTTATAGGGATATACGATGTTCTATATGTAGCAGCAACCATATGAAATCGAAAAGTGTCGCTGGTACAGCAGTTTTCTTTTGATTTGTATTGATTTCGGTTTGTGCCTTTGATTGGACACAGTTAGAAGGATGACAAAATATTGGAGATAGATGTTATATCATACATTACATCCAGTATATTCATGAAAAAACACTTTCCGGAAGTCTTAAATCTCTAATTTCCTGTTTTTTTGTTTTGTTTTTCTCAGAATGAAGATGATGATGATGAAGAGGAGGAGGAAGAGGAGAAAGAGAAAGAAGAGGATCTTTTAAGGGGGAGGGGGGCCAGATCAGCTGTGCTCCAAAACAAACTCAGAGTAAGTACATGTACTCAGAATTTAGGAAAAGAGACTGGCTATTTTAGAAATCTAAATCAATCTTAAGCTTTTAGCTTTTATGTTTTCTTTCAAACCCTTTATATCTTTGCTTCTGTCACAACTTTTTTGAAATCAGATTTTCCAAGTTTTCAGTGTAAGGTTGGATTTGTAAGGTTATATATTTTATCGGTGTTTGCTGTATTTCATAGCTGAAAAGAAAATACCGAGAAACTTCATGGTGGTTTTATTTTTCAGTTACCTCTCTGACATTATCAAACCTTTTGTGGCCACTGTTTATTACAGAATAAAACTAAAAATGTAACATTTGCAAAGCAAAGGAATAATGTTTACCTTCGCATAAGGTCTGCTCTGTTGAGTCTTACTCAAACACATTCATGTACATGTATATGGTCAGACAGGAGTCTAAATCCCTCCTACTATAAAATTGCAACATGATGTAACCCAACGTTAGTTGCCATGGTAACAGACAGTCTGGTTCAGGTCATTCATTGACCTTTTTGGTTTGGAGAAGATGTGGAAGTGTGGCGAAAACAATGTTTTCCTTCGGTAAACATAAAAAAGGAAAGATGGCGCTGAGTGTGTAACGATGAATGAAACTGACTCTGCTTCTTTTAAGAGCAAGCATGGCAAAGGTGGGGGAGAGCAGGAGGATCTCCTGCTGGGGCGAGGTGGGAAGAAGACCACAGTCCTGCCCAACAAGCTGAGGGTATGCCCCTCACACTTACAGTGACGTACAGGAACTCAACACCATGGGTGTGGGGGGAGGGGGGCAAGGAGAGTAGTAGAAATGTACCACTGTTCCTAGACTGTGTTACACGTTACACACTCTTGCTGTCGGGCTAATTGGGTCTAACCAGTTGAAGGAGTGTTGAAACTGTCATTTATGCCCCATTATACATGACCTCAGCAGTTTGTTGGGTGCAGGGCTCAAAATTAACATTGTCCCGATGGCCACTGACTACAAATTTAGGTAGGGACACCTGAAAAGTCACTTTGGGACATTTTTGGGACAATAGAAAAATAATCAACATCAGAATGTCATCCCTACTTATGTCTATCAGGCACACATCCCAGCTTTTGCCTTGAAAAGAACCCCAAATTTCTTGTCTATTCTGCAATTATAGCCTGCCTGGGAGTCAGAACATAAGGAAATTAAGCTGACTTCAAGTTGCTGTCATACATATTTAGTACTTCCCGAAAAACAGGTTCGGACAGTTCAACCTTACTTCAGGACAGTTGAAATATATTTTTGGGACAGTGCTGGGACAATCAGAAAAAAAGTTAATTTTGAGGCCTGGGGTGTATCCTGGAATCCATCCTATTCTAGTGCCAGTTCTCTACTCTTGGTGCATTTATACAATATGAATTTTAAATTCTCGGTGCAAGTTTGCTTCTGCCACAAGCAGAGAATTTTACTGAGATTCCAAACAAAATCTTCACCGCAAACAAAATTTTCCGCAGGATTTTTCCTTACCAACCGTTACATTACACAGACTGGGAACAATTGGTACACATAGCAGACCTCTTTCTCTTCACTAACTTCTTGCACTTTCACGCGGGATACTCTTTGTCACTAAGAAGTCTTGTGGTATTTCAGGATGAGAAGACAGCGGAGGAGAAGCGTAAGGAACACCAGACAGAGCTGGCACAAAAGATAAACGAGGAGGCCAGACTCCGACTGTCCAAGAGGAAAGGAGACACTGTCAAACAAAAGTAGGTTTTTCAAAGGAAAATTTTGTGACACAGGGCCATACCAATAATTTTTGGGTCAAGGATTAACCTGCTTCATTTTTTCCTGATTTGAAAAAAAAAAAGGAAAAAAATGTGCATTTGCCATTCAGGATCTGGATCAACCTCAAATGGTTATATTTTGGCACCAACAATAATTGTCAAAGAAATCATTTTCTTTTCCTTGGGCCTAGGAAAAAAAATGTTGTGTTTCCTGTTTCCCGACCGACCCTAGAAAAAAACTGCTGATGCTAGCCTTTTTTTTTTTATCCCTACAAGGGACATAAATTTTTCAAGCTGATCGACCTTTCCTAGCTCCATGATCTAACACCTGAGTTATGAAACGTGGTACTGTACAATCAGTTTTCCAACATTGATTTCCAAATACAAGTGTCCTCATGCAAGTTTTACATAAACTGTATTGTAACAGTTGTATAAGTTGAATCACTAGATATTGCCAAAGTCTAAAAAAAGGGGAAAAAAGATAATCCCTAACGTTACCTACCGACCCTAATTTTTTCGGGACTGAAACAGGAAAAACGACATTTTTTTCTAGGCCTTATCAGTGCTAGAAATGCATATTTGTGCTAATAATCTTTCCAGGGTTCGGAAGTCCAACGTCGCCTACAAGACGGTGAGCCAGGTCCCTAAGGAGCCTGACGTGAGAGACTTGAGGATATTTGTGGACAAGAAGTATGAGACTGTCATCTTGCCTGTGTTTGGTGTCCCCACCCCTTACCACATCTCTACCATCAAGGTAAGCAGGGGGCATTCTGTCCTATACTGCTCTGTTTATCAGTTTGAAACAGGCTGTTAGTAGAACATTGGTAGAACGTACTGCGCCTGCATTTTGGTCAATGTTGCATCTGAATTTTGCCTGTTGCTTACGATATTTTTTCCGACATAACAGTTGGAAACTACAGACGGAGTGTTAACCTTATTTGCGCAAATACTTTTTCGTGCAGGTGCAGTACGTTCTGCCAACTTGCTGCTGTTAGTAATGTTACTATAGTGTAGATGAAAATTTCTTCATTGATATCTGTTAACAGCATGTATTTGATTTAAGTACGAAATAGACGTCAAAAGTCAATGAAAAACTGATGGAGTTGGAGTATATGTTGCCTTTGCGAGTGTACAGATGGAAACTTAAAGTCACTCCTTGAAACATAGTAATCTGGGTATTGTTAAGCAAAATCTGACTTATTTGCTGCCTTATAATTGGCAAAAATGGATTTGGCATTTGATGTTTTTGTGATTGAACTTGTTGTCTTCCCGCTGTAGAACATCAGTATGAGTGTTGAAGGTGACTACACATATCTGCGAATCAACTTCTTCTGTCCTGGAAGGTAGGATGAATTAAAAGTATCTGGTACATTTTGTAGTCAAGTTGACAAGGTTTACTTGTGGTTACTTCGAGTTGTTGACTTAGAATCTAAATGCTCTGGGTTCGAGTCCCTGGCTGTTAGGGATCGGACATCCTCTCGGTTTACAAAAAGCTACAGGTCACATATTTGAGTAGAGCTAAACCTCAAGCATGTTAAAGATCCCACCACACTTGAAAAGAATTGAACAGTCCTGGTGTAAGAAAATCAAACCATGTTTGTACATGTACCAACTGGTGTGTTATACTAAAGGGCAGTACTCCAGTTAAGCAAATCAAACAGAAGTTGTTAATGCTTGCAGTCTTCATTCAAGATGCTTATACAGTTTTGTTGTTTTTGAAATTTGATTTGATTTTGACTCTTTTTCCTTTCCTTTCTGTCCTGCCAACCAGCGCTCTGGGGCGAAACGAGGGAAACGTGTTTCCAAACCCGGAGGCCACGTTTGTCAAGGAACTGTGAGTACAGATTCAGTAGCACTTTTTTATACTGGCTGTTGGGCTGGGTGCTCTATAGACCGATCCTGGCTGTCCATCACAATTAGCTTTTCAACCAATGATAGCATAGCAATTGGTGATTTGACCAATGAGAGAGTAATTTCATGTCCATCATAATTAGCTTTTCAACCAATGATAGCATAGCAATTGGTGATTTGACCAATGAGAGAGTAATTTCATGTCCATCACAATTAGCTTTTCAACCAATGATAGCATGGCAATTGGTGATTTGACCAATGAGAGAGTAATTTCATGTCCATCACAATTAGCTTTTCAACCAATGATAGCGTAGCAATTTAGTGATTTGACCAATGACAGAGTAATTGCATGTCCATCAGGTACTTGAATTTTTAATGATTCTATTCTGCATTTCTACGTTTTGACATGGGCGCGGGCTACAGGATCAGTCTATTAGTTAAAAGTGCTTAATTAAAAACAGTGTGTTGATCCTTTTGTTTTATATACTTGTTGGAAAGAAGTGCCTAAAAGACATAAGACAATCTCTAGTTTGTATTATTGATGGACTTCGAAGATATAAACTGCAATACTGAACAGTTACAGTGTATGAGTAAAGTAAAGAGACTTTTTTTATACAACCAAGACCTAGCCTTTTCTCTTCAGCCGACGTTTCGGTGACCGCCTGTCACCTTCCTCAGGGCGATTCTGACTGGTTCACATTGCACAGCAGCACAGGTGTCGTTGCTACAGATGCATTCCCAAATGTACAATACATGTATTTACATATCTACACTTATGAGGAAGGTGACAGACGGTCACCGAAATGTCGGCTGAATAAAAGACTTGGTTGTGTAAAAAGAGTCTCTTTACTCAGTGTCTTACCAACCTGATGAAACTATTCACGGATGAGTTACAGTGTATGTATTGTGATGAGGTGGACTTGCACTGGAGACATCCATGACTTATGTCTATCTTTGTGTGTCACTTGTGTGTTATGTGTCTGTTTAGGATTTATCTGAAGGAGTTGTAAGTAGACGTTCACACCTGTGTGTGTTTGTCGTTTTTGCGATTCCTTTCCACTTCTTTTCCTTGTGTTTCCAGCCTCAGAATTTCTTAGCCCTCTTTTCCTTCATTTTCCACTGTTACTAAATCCTTCACTACAGATTTGTCAAACCTGAAACAGAAATAAGACCAGAAAAACCAGAAAAAGTAGCGACAACCAAAAACCAGCTTTAACAAAAGTTCAAACTTTGTAAACTCTAGCACGTCAGCAGAACGTACTGCACCTGCGCGAAACCTGTAATGTATTGTGCATAGCACTTTGTCAGAACGTCTCATATAAGGTTGTATTTGCACATATAAGGTTAACACTCCGTCCGTAGTTTCCAAATGTTATGTCGGAAAAAAATATCGTCTGCAACAGACAAAATTCTGTTGCAACGTTAACCAAACTTCCAACGAAAACCGCAAAAAATCAGGGTTTCATACAGGTGCAGTACGTTCTGCTGACGTGCTATCAATTCTGTGCATGATTGACGGTTGTTTCCGTGATGTCATGTAGGACGTACCGAGCGTCCAATCAGAAGAACACGGCCACCAGTGTGGTGCCGGCCAACAACTTAAACACCGCCTTCCGCATCATCAAGGACGTCCAGAAGAAGTTCAAGACGAGGGAGGCTGAGGAAAAGGAAAAGGAGGTGAGAAAACATCTTTGTGGTGATCAATTTTCCTCAGAAAGATTTTTATAGTAGGGAATTTGAATTTAGAAAAGTTGCAGACTTTCTCTTCGTTACAGCTTCAGAGAAGAACTTCTGTAAAATTTAGTCTATTTTTCTTTGCATGATGAGACATGGGAAGAGGTTAGGCACAGGAAATGAAAGACAGATGAACATGAAAGTCACAAAAACCTAAAATACTTCTTATTGCGTGTTGTGAAAACAGTGATCTGTGTTGTTTTCCAGGGCATAGTGAAGCAGGACAACCTGGTTGTAAACAACAACAAGAGCAACCCCAAGCTGAAGGACCTGTACATCAGACCCAACATCGTACAGAAGAGGATACAGGGCTCACTGGAAGCACACGTCAATGGTATGGCCCATACCATGATTTGTTTTATTTTATTTTATTTTGATTCAATAATAAATTATTGCAACAAGGCAATACATTGGCCACCCAGGCAGCATGGCTGATATCGGGTGCCAAAAGATACACATATTAAACATACACAATATGACTTACTAATAGACTAACAAGTACCACATTAAGCTAAGATCTATCAATTAACAATATAAAATTTCAACAGACTTAAGTAAAATTTGTTTGTTTATTGAGATTCTCCATTAGTGATTAGACTATTCTTCCTCTAGTTTTGATTGATTTACTGAAAGATTGTTGCTGGGATACAGATACAGGTTTTTAATTTTTGTACGTTTTATTATGCTGGTAGAATGTTTGTAAAATCTCTCCATCACTGAGCAAAAAATGTCTTGATTCTCTGTCGATTTTGAAATTTGGTGACCTTCTGGTGATGAACAAATTCATTGGAAGGTCGTTACCATGCCAGCGCAACACCAGCTTTGAGAGGGGACATTAGACCATGACCCACTCTTCCACTTTCCTTTTACTATCTATACTACTTTAAAAACATGTATTTCTATTATCAATAAAAGAGAGATCCTTGCTAAAGCTTAGTTACATGTACTTTTCCCATGTTGACCACTTGTGTTGATCCCAGGTTTCAGGTTTACCTCAGTGAGAGGAGACAAGGTAGACATCCTGTACAACAACATCAAACACGCCATCTTCCAGCCGTGTGACGGAGAGATGATCATCTGTCTACACTTCCACCTCAAGGTAAAGGCAGCTAATTCTTACCTAATACCACTTAGAAAGAGAAATTTTAAGAATTTAAGAAGAAAACTAGATAAGTAACATTTGCAAAGCAAATACATAATGTTTAACTTCACATATGGTCTGCTCTGTTAATTCTGACTCAAATACATTCATATGTATTGTCAGACAGGAGTATAAATCCCTCCTAGTCCTACTATAAAATTGCAACATTATGTAACCCAACACCAGGTATCATGCAGAGAGATGTAAACAAATCAGGTCATTGGCCAGGTCAGAGGTCAGTGTTTGGAACAGAAGAAGAAGAGGAAACTTACCAAAAACAATATGTTTTTCTTCGGTAGACATAATTATCCCAACGACATTTATAGAACTCAATACATACTAAAATTTTCAGAATAGAAACAATAACTTGATGTCTGTCTCCATGCAGCACGCCATCATGTTTGGAAAGAAGCGGCACAGAGATGTGCAGTTCTACACGGAGGTGGGAGAGATCACCACCGACCTGGGCAGGCACCAGAACATGCACGACAGGGACGACCTGTATGCTGAGCAGGTCAGTTATTTTCTCACAGGCACCGAAATGTCTGCGATAGGGACGACCTGTGTAAAAATAGTTATAAACTTTTGTAATTTTTGCACATTGTCACTAGGACACTTCAAGACGATCAATTAACTAGAAGGTAACATTTTCAAACCAAGTGCACAATGTTTACCTTCACATGGTCTGCTCTGTTAATTCTTACTCAACACATTCATATATATGGTCATACATAGAATTTCGTGTGATAGTAGTTTCTCCTGATCGGCCAAATATCAAAGGGCGTGACATACTGGAACAGTCGTGTGCAGAGTACATCGAGTGTCTGGTTCAGGTCATTGACCCTATTGGTTTGGAGAAGAGGAAACAGAGCAATTAAAAATGAACATTTGCAAAGCAAATGCATAATGTTTACCTTCGCATATGGTCAGCTCTTTTAATTCTTACTCAAACACATTTCACATGTATATGGTAACAGGAGTCTAAATCCCTCCTGCTATAAAATTGCAACATTATGTAACCCAATACCAGTTACCATGGTGTGAGACAGTCTAGTTCAGTTAGGTCAGAGGTCACTGGAGAAGAAGAGGAAACTGACCAAAAACAATGTTTCCTTTGGTAAACATAACAATATGTTTATATCCACTATGTTATTACATATAGGCTGAACGAGAGCTCCGACATAAGTTGAAGACTGCCTTTAAGACATTTATCGAGAAGGTTGAGTCCATCACTAAGGAGGAGCTTGAGTTTGAGGTTCCGTTCAGGGAGCTGGGGTTCTTCGGCGTGCCCAACCGCAGCACAGTACTGCTGCAGCCTACCAGCAGCTGCATGGTCAGCCTGGTGGAGTGGGTAAGTTTGTCAGTCTGTTTGTTTGTTTGTTTGTTTGTTTGAGCTTTTGTTACATTTTGTACCTCCATGAAAAATGGATGTATTCTTTTTGTTATGTCTTTCTGTCTCTGTGTGTTCCCACACATTTGTAGTCAGCATAACTTCAGAATGCCTTTATGGATTATGATGATATTTGATATGTTGGTAGGTCGTAGGAAGACAAAGGCTAAGATCAAATATGGGCCTCCTGGTGGCTGAATTTAGTACTGCAGCAGAACTGGTTTTTATATCTTCTGTCCTGAACATGCTACGGTCTTGGATTTTTTGTGACAGAAAAGTACATTATGTACTGTAGATGAATTTGTAGTAAAATAAGGTGGATATGCATACAATTGTGTATGTAGAGCCCTTGACTGGGTCCTGTTGCTTTCTCTAACTGTGTCAAACTTCTTTTTCAGCCCGTATTTTGCATTTCGCTGGACGAGATCGAACTTATCCACTTCGAGCGTGTCAGTTTCCACCTGAAGAACTTTGACATGGTCTTCATCTTCAAAGACTACAGCCGCAAAGTCGAGATGGTCAACTCCGTTCCCATGCAATCATTGGACCAAGTCAAGGAGTGGCTCAAGTAAGGGCTGGGTAAAATTGGGGCTGTGCAGGTATTTCTGATGTCTACAATGTACCTGCACCAAGCTATGTATACAAATGTTAGACTCAAGTTAGAGTGTATAGATTTTCATTAGGCCTAGTTTCCTGTTCCCTGACTGACCCTAGAAAAACCTGCCGACTTTTTTTGGGGGGTGGCCCCTGCAAGGGACATAATTTTTTTCAAACTGATCAACCTTTTCTAGCTCCATGATCTGACACCTGAGTGATAGAACATTGTACAATTTTTCTAATATTGACATTGAAAATTAAAGTGTCCTCACGCAACTTTTACTTTGTTAAACTGTATTGTCTAAGTTGGAGGCCTATATAGATATCACTGAAGTCTAAAAAAAATTAAAAATAATCCCTACCTAAAGACCCTAATTTTTTCAGGAATGAAGCAGGAAACACAAATTTTTTTTCCTAGGCATAATTTTAAAGTGCTCATGACACCAAAATTCTGTGAAATACATACAAATATCGGAAGTGTACATACAATATAGTCACTTGAAGTTTGTTCCAATCATGATGACTGAGAAACTGAGCTTGTACTGCCTTCTAAAAGTGGGTTTTTGGAGACTCTCTAGCAAGCTTCCCAATTGCCCACTTCGGGCATCTCTATTTGCTTCTCTATGTTTTATTTTTGCATTTCTGTGCTGTCATCCAGTGATGTCAGCTCAGGGAAAAATACAGACATGAAAAAATAAAATGTAGAGATGCAAATAACCCGCCAGTACTAGCTTGTGCTGACTTATCCAAGGTAGGGCGTTAGAATTTTGAATGTAACAAGAGAACCGTGCATATTTATTGTAAATGTGTCCGTTAGCCAGGTAATACTAGTTATGTCAATTACAATCAGCTAAGGTCTTTTTTTGGTGTCATGAGCACTTTAATGTTCTCTGCACCAGTATTTGAAGGTCTGACAGCATTGTTTCCCTTCCACAGCTCATGTGATATCAAGTACACAGAGGGTGTGCAATCCTTGAACTGGACAAAAATCATGAAGACCATCAACGACGACCCAGAGGGCTTCTTTGAAAATGGCGGCTGGTCCTTCTTGGAACCTGAAAGCGATGTGAGAATAACGCAATGTTTTTCATTACTCCTGTCCTGGGTGTGTTCTTGAGCAGATTGCAGTACCACTTGTAGAAGCAAGGGGGCATCCATACAAACTTACAGACTACACAGTAATGGAGGTGTCCTTTTCTATGAATAAAGCATTGCAGGCCTTAGTACTTTTCTCTGTCAAAATAGAAAAAGAAGAATTGGAACTGTAGCACATGTATGAGTTAGAAAAGGCTGGAAATGGAGTACTCCACTCCATAACAAACATGTAAAAGGTCTTAGATTAAAAGTTTGTGTTTTTATCATTCTGGATTGCTCATTCTTCGATAAAAATTGGAGTATGACAGCCGAAAATTTGAGCAAGTCCAAATTACAGTTGTAGACTTTCTTATGGTAAAACGGTTCAACTATATCTCAGAAAGCATGTCGGCAGAACGTACTGCACCTGCGCCCCCCCATTTTTCACGGTTTTCGCAGGATTTTTGGTCAATGTTGCATCAGAATTTTGCCTGTTGCAGACAATATTTTTTCTGACGTAACATTTGGAAACTACAGACGGGATGTTAACCTTATATACGCGAGTACGACCTTATATGAGATGTTCTGCTGAAGTGCTACATGTATACACAATACATCACGGGTTTTGCGCAGGTGCAGTACGTTCTGCTGACGTGCTATTTCAGAACATGTAAGAAGATTTTAAACAGGTCCATAACGCCTCCGTTCATGTTGTTACAGTCTGAAGACGATGATGATGATGATGAGGGTGATGAGGAGTATGAGGTGTCGGGGAGTGAGTTTGAGGAGGATGAGGAGTCAGACAGTGAGTACTCGGAGGACAGTGAGGCCAGCGAGGACTGGTCGGAGGAGGACCTGGGCAGTGATGAGGAGAGCGGCAAGGACTGGGACGAACTGGAGGAGGAGGCTCGCAGAGGTAGGGTTATTTATAATAACAATAATACATGTTTTTTTATTGTCCAAACAGTACCCGTGCAGTCGCAGCCTTTAACAGCTGAATTGATGCAGGGTATCACATAATAATCAATACAAATCACAACAATCAAATAATACACATTTGCTCCACAAATATTTTTTGTGGAACTGTCGCAAGGGTCTGTGCGGCTGCCATTCGGTGCCACAAGGTGACCTCAGTACGACTTTCCCCAACAGAAGTTAGGTACCCATTCACACCTGGGTGGAGTGAGGAAAGTTGTGTTCACTTTTTCTCAGTACAGTCTTTACTTTACCTACATTGGAGGTGTATGATAAAGCACCCTGCAACATTATGAAGTCTCTCTTGTAGTGTGCTTCATATACCTTTCCAAGCTAGCTTTTCATATATTTCTGAGTGGACCATCCTAGATACGCTCAGAACTTGTAAGTTGTCTGATAATTGTGTATACAAATCTCTCACCATGTCTAAGACACAGGGCCAACTCCAAGAATAGCCCAGCCCTGACATGCCACCCAGGAGCGCAGCGATCACATTATGTCTTACAAATAGATGTGCAGCTGGTCTTTAGTGGCCTTGCCATTGATATATACACCTAAGGTGTATGTCGCCCTGGCCTTGGGCTGAGACACAACATAATTTTCAGTCAGTAATACCCCAGGCTTGGCCCATACAGCTCTTAAAAGCTGAATGTATGAGGTAGATCAAGGATGGGTCACAGTGTCAGCGATGTTCTGTTTTTAATAAGACCGTCCGTGGCTGTAACGTTGCCCCCGCCACCCACCCTGCAACAGTTGTCTAAGCCTCTTCCTTTGTTTCTGTCAAAGTTCATTATTGAACGTCCAGAAGTTGCCAAGGTAGCAGTTTCCAGTTTGATATTTTTGGGATGTTACGTTTTCTCTTTTCAAAGTGGTTATAGATGACATTTGTTGTAAGTTGATGACATTTTTTAGTTTATGAAAAGTTTTTTTTTCTGTAAGAATCTTTCATGCAACATCGTCCTATTCCTCATTATGCCCTTAAAGTACCAAAAACTTGAAGTCAAAAGCCAGTTTAAAATTTAAACAATGAATTTTGAACTTTTAATCAAACCACTGCATTGATAGATGAAAAAACTGTAACAACTAGGAAGAAAAGGACTTTCCTCAACTGTTCGGAGAAAATATGAGCATATCTGAGTTGATTCAGAACCAGAGTCTTTTTTTTTGCAAATCAGAAAAAAGAAAAATGAAGAGGTGTATCCAAGAACCAACAAATTAAATTGGTGTGGCCTACTAGAGAAGTGATGATAGCCTCCTATGGTTCCCTCTATCAGAAAACCTGGTCCCCAGATGCCCATACCCCCATCCCTCCCCATGGGTGCATCAGGTCCTGAAAATGGTAACAGGATTTCTGGAGATGCTGAAACCTTGCCCCTATTCTTTCCAACCTGGAAATTGGATTAACCAATCATCCAATCATTGTTGAGAGATACCCTGACTGACACTTCAGCTGTCAGTGGATGGGTGTGGTTTTCCTGATGATATCAAGACAACAGCTGTGAGTGAGATCTGGATGAGGCAGAGTGTACATGTACATATGTAGGTGAGAGAGAACTCAATCTGAGGGGTTTGGGTCACTGGGATCAGTCTTCTCATTAAGCCACAGGTGGTACGGTAAATCTCTAAATTTTCACTACAGTTGTATGTGAGGGAGAACTCAATCCGAGGGGTGTCAGGTCACTTGGATCAGTCTTCTCATCAAAGGCATCCAATGCGATTTCATCAGGGCAGCAAAACTGGAATTTGTATATGAATATTTTGAATAAGGCAATCTTTGTGATGCTGACACATATTGCTTCACATCAGTACATTTCAATCAGTATTTCATACTTTGGGCTTTTAAACTGCAGAAAAAAGCCCAGAGATGAGTTTATTTTCTGGGTGGTACCTTAAAAATCAGCCAAGGGCCCTTTCAGTAACCATTTTCTGTCAGAATTTTAGGTTTTTTGCTCCACGAGGGTCAATATACATTGGGATAGTGTGGTTTCATCTCAGTATGATGTAGTTAAGTGCCTAGAATATTGACTTTGAAAAAGTCCAATCGCTAAAAACTCTACTTGATGCCTTTAAGAGAGTATAGCAGCTGTTGCAGTTGATCAAAACCCAGCAAGGCCGGCTGGCGGCTGCAGCCTGGCCAAACCTACCCCAGCGACATTCCTGGGACTCTCACGGCTGCTATCTCCCCTCCTGGAGGTGATTATGGACCTCCTCAGAATTCTGGAGAAAACAGGGCCACATCAGCATCAACCTCAGTGTAACAAATGAAATTTGACTAATTAACTAGAAAGGTAACATTTGCAAAGCAAATGCATAATGTTAACCTTTGCATATGGTCTGCTCTGTTTATTCTTACTCAAACACATTCATATATATATATGGTCAGACAGGAGTCTAAATCCCTCCTGCTATAAAATTGCAACATGTAACCCAACACCAGTTACCATGGTGACAGACGTGTGGTGCAGGTCATTGACCTTATGTGTTTGGAGAAGAGGAAACTTAGCAAAAACAATATGTTTTTCTTTGAAAGTTTGATAAACATAATGACAATGGAACCAATGCTATGATCACATGGTTTACATGTGACGTCAACAATGGGTCAAAGTTGGTTAGAAGTCAATATCACCAACCCTAACCCCCACAGTAGTTTTGTTACTTAAAACCAACATATCAAAATGGGGGCCTGCATGGGGTGTCCCAACAACAGTCTACGCTAATTTTGAGAGCTGGCTACGTATTATGCTGAATTCAGGAAACCTCTCGATAACGCTTTACGATAAATTCCAAGTGGCTACAACGCATTACGTAGAATTAAAATGCAAATATGCTCTACGCAAAATGCTCCAATTACGCTCTAGTGCGTTGAATTAGAGCGGTCCGTCTAAGCTCTACGTAGAATTAAAACGGCTCATTACGCTCTACGGAAAAGGGCATGCGGGGTCCTCCAAAATTAGGGTATGAGGGAGCACTGCACTCCAAAAGTCTTGAATAAAAAAACCTACTTAGTCAGTGACTCATCCTGGACCACACATGGGGGTGTTATGTTGTTGTTACCATGGCAACTCCTTTCTAATAAACATATAGCCTTAAAGTTCATCTGTGTTTTTGTAGTTCATTGGCAAAGACAGCCAAAAGTGTTTGTAAGCCTGATTCTTTGTGTTTGATCGCAGTTTGAAACGTGAAGATCTCTCTTCATAACATGTCGTTCAGTTCTCTGTTTCCATACATGTTCAGGATAATGAAGGTCTTTCAGATAGAATAACAAAGGCTTGAAACTTCCTGTTTAGCATAATTATATAAACTCCCATTCAAAATTGTAAGAAACACTGTCTGTGACCAAAAAAAAGGAACCTAAAATGAAGTCCTGAAAATCTGTGTTGTAAAATTTACAGGAAAACCTGTAAAAGAACAACAAAGTGATTTTCGACAAAACATTGACAGGACAACAATGCAGGCAAAAAATATGTATGTGCTTAAACTTTTGACCTGAAAAAGTCACAGACACAAAGTGCACAGCTAGGCTTAACACAAACACATACCTTCCTAGCCTATCACTAAAGTTTTCCCTCTAAATTATTTCATTTTCGTAGTGAAAGAACACGGCAACATAGAAATGTGTTGTTATACACAGATGTGTGCTGCACAGGTGTATAGATGAGCGCAGGTGTGTGCTGTACACACCTGAGAAAGTGCCTCTGGGGTTAATTGGTCTGTACGGATGATTACATGCAGGTGACAGAGTTCACAATAATCTGTCATGTCCAAACACCTGTTCTGACTACCGATCATTCACCAACTGTCATGTCATCATTTAGAGAAGAACAGGGACTGTCATCATTACTCCTGGAAACAAAAGACGTCAGAAACCTTCCCATGCCCCGCGTCCTGAGTGTTGAGTATCCCTGGGGCCAACAAATGGCTGAAAAAATCCTTTCTGAATCAAACAATATAATTGCATATTAGAGGCATCCAGTGCAGTTTTTAGGGCCTGGAAACCCAATTTTTCAAAGTCAATATTTTAGTCACTTATCTACATACTGAGTTGAAACTACACTACCCCAATGTATATTGATCCTCATGGAGCAAAAATACCCAAAATTCTGACGGAAAATTGTTACTGGAAGGGCCCTTGGCTGATTTTTAAAGTACCACTTATAAAATAAAGTACTCATCTAGGGGCTTGTTTCTCCAGTTTTACTTACCCAAAGTATGAAATAATGATTGAAATGTGCTAATGTGAAGCGGTATGTGTCAATATCACAACGATTGCCTTATTCAGAATATTTCCAGTTTTGCTGCTATGAAATCGCATTGGATGCCTTAAACAAGAAAACCTAGGATCAATGTGAACATTTCTTACAGAGTTGGTCCCATACATGTACATGTATATACATGTACATGTATGTCTCCTTAGTAAGTTTTGATTTTCTTTGTGTATTGGCTGTTGTAATTTTATTTCACGAATTTTGTTTGTTTTGCATAATCAGTAAACTGCCTTAAAACTGCCAGGCAGATTTGATTGATTGATTGATCCCTGTGTTTCCCCACCAGTTCAACAGGTCCCTGCTAATGTTGGGGTATCGCTTCCCTGTAATAACACTCTTGTCAAGAGAAATTACCGGACATGCTCCACTGCTGTAGATAATTCTCCATTGTGCATCACACATCAAAGAAATGATTTGGAACAACAATTGGTAGAAACAATTTTGAAATACGAGCTGCTTTGGTATCTTGGAAGAAATTTTGTATCTTCCGAACAAATTGAATGCCTGAACCATCTTGAGTCTTGACATAAGCTGTTCTCTTCTATGATACATTTTTTATTTCAGGGCAAATATAATCTTTGATGTCTGTCCAACCAAAACATTTCTGTTATGTTTTGGAAGGAGACAAATACTTTCCTGCTCAATATTACAACACATACACATTTGTACTTCCATC